ACACATCCTGAAATAGACAGTGCCATGACTGAGACACCTCACTTAGCCCAGGGAGGGAGGAAGCTGGTGAGCCACCCCAAGAGCTCAAGGCCCACAGCCGTGCCTCATTTTCACATTTCCTCCAGGACTATGTTGTTGACAGGTGACACGTGGCCACAAATGCCCTCACTGTCTCACAGTTTCCTGCCAATGTGGGTTTCACATAGTGACCAATGTATCTGCTCCTACATGAGTAGTTTCAACAGGCAACTGCGCTAACATCTGTGTTTGTCATTAGGCACCACCAGCCAGCAACAGTACTGGAGTTCACCTTGGGAAGGGGTCATGCACCTCCTGTCCTTCCTTCCTCTTCAGTATTAGGGACTTATGCTGGTAGCTCACAGCAGCATCTCTGAATGCGCACAAGCACATCCTTGAGGGGTTTAGCTAGAGGTACAGCCTGAGTCCAAGAGGTGTGTCTGGTGTGATGATCTGCAGAGCATTTCCCTCAGCCTCTGTGTTCTCCCTGTGTGCAGTCATGGCTCTGGGAAGCAAAGCTGTGTCTGAGCACCCTTTCCTCCTAATATGTCGATGGGGCTCCAGCAGAGGCGAGAGCCCCAAGGTCATGCTCCTCTGAAAGCGTGCCTTCTCTCTGGTGGTTGACAGGTGCTCATGAGTACAAGTCCTGCATCTGGCTGACCTTGCTGGGTGGAGCCCTGTGTTCTAAAGGAGATGAGGCTGGTGATGTTCTTAATCTGCCCTGGCTGCCTCCATAACCAGGTCCCACAGCTGGGTGGCTTAAACAATAGGCATTGTTTTCTGTTTTGGAGGCTGAAAGCCCAAGATCAAAGTATCATGGTGCTTGGTTTGTTCCTAGGCCCCTTCCCTCAGATTGCATATGGCCACCTTCTCATGGTCCTATTCTCTGTGGGCACATCCTTGCTGTCTCCCTCTTGTAATCAGGACCCAAGCCTTACTGGACTAGAGTTCACTCTTAGGACCTCATTAGAGACTCCCTCTCTAAAGGGTCACAGTGGGGTTTAGGGCTTCCTTGTGGGTCCACATCACACGACTGAATGACCTCCAGCTTCAATTCTGAGGAAATTGGTCAAGTTGCCAACAGGGTCTGCCAAGGCCAAGAGGCAGAAAACAGCACCCTCCCAGGTTTCCTGTCTTCAACACAAGGTAGGAGATCATCTCATATGACATCAGAACCAAACCACAAAGGAATTGTGGGTTTTGCTCTTGAGGACCTGGAAGAGGTGGTGGTGCTTCAGTGCCCCTGGGCCGGCAGTCCAAGCACCTGAGCCCAGTGAAGGTGCCCAGATGTGGCTGTCCTGCTCTGCAGACGCACTGGTGAGGGCAGGGCTGAGGCCCACACAAGGAAGCAAGTGACTGTAGGAGCATCTAGGGAGGGTGGTACTCTACCTGGACTCAGGCTCCAGGGAGACTGCTACCTAGACCTCCACACACCCAGCTCCAGGGTCAGGGGAGGGCAGGAAGGAAACTGGTGCTCTTCCCTGATCTGTACCAAGGGGGCTTTCTTTCTAGGATAGGATCCTCCTTCCCCAGTGATGCCTCTGCTCAGTGTCCACATGTGCTTGTCCGCAGCTGGTGGCAGTGAGGGGGCTGCCTGCCTGTGTGAGCTGCAGGGCCACAAGTTCATTTTGGTCCTGCCTTATTTTGTTCTAGAACCCTCTTAAATATTCTGCCAGGTGTTGTGTTTCAGCTACATGATCACAACACACACACACACACACACACACACTCCCTGTCCTAATTTCTGTTTTCAAATTAGGTTTGACTCTGTTGAGCAGATGGGATGGAGAGGGACTCCTAGGCCCGCACTCCTCAGCCTGACTGCTGTCAGAGCTTGCCTTCCAGTCTTCCCAGAACCCAGGGGTCTCTTCTTTCCCTGTGGGCACAGTTGTTCCAATCATTTCCATTGGAAGTGTTTGGATATGGCTTTTAGGAGACTTTGCCCTGCTACCTTTTCTGACCATTGGGTTTATTTGTGGGGAGAAGGTCAAGTTGATATTACCTAAGGTAACCCTGAGTCCTGTGCCCAGAGAGTTCCAAATTCTTCTGTTAGTTGCTGATCTTGTCTGGGTTTGGAGAAATCCTTTATCATAGCTCTTAATTCAGCTCTGGTTCAGGTTTAAATTGCCTATGTCACCAGTTTGGTTGGGGGATTCTACAAGTACTCAGCATCAGGGGTCCTAGGAGCATTGTTGGGAAAAGGCAGAGGTGGAGTTGGGGGGGGCGGGGGAATGTGTTGAAAAGATGGGAATCGGGGCAGGAGGTGCTAGAGGGCTAGGAAGAAGGACCTACTGGATAGCATCTGAGGTCTGTCAAATTATTTATTTGCTTTAGCCAAAGAATCTTTCAGTGAAACGATTTTTAAATCAGAATTTCACTAGGAAACCTATTCACACTGATACAAAAAATGCTGCTCCACTGGGCATGAGAAACCTTGTCCACTTTTTTTTATAAGGCAATATCCATATATAGGGTTTAACCCAGGGCACTCCACCACTGAGCTACAGCCCAGCCCATTTTTATTTATGTATTTATTCATTTATTCATTTTTTTTCAGTTGTAAATGGGCACAGTGCTTTTATTTTATTTATTTATTTTTATACAGTGCTGAGGATTGGACCCAGTGCCTCACAGGTGCTAGGAAAGTGCTCTATCACTGAGCTACAGCCCCAGCCCCCCATTTTTATTTTTATTTTGAGACAAGGTCTCACCAATTTGATTAGGGTCTCGATAAGTTGCCACGCCCAGCTATAACATTCCTCTTGAATGGACCGTTATACTCAAGTCTAGTGTCCCCAGAGTGCTCACCAAAGGCCCGAGTCATGCTTGGTGGAGAGACACCACAAATGGGCAGGTGTGGAACCAGGGCTTCAGTGGGTGAAGTGGCTTCAGGGTTCAGGAAGAGGAGGCTTAGACAGACCGTGGAAGCTGGCAGCAAGTAGGACTGCAGCCCACATACCTTCAGCCACCCCAACCCCATCAGTGGAACCGAGGGACAGTCCCTCCACATCAAATAAGCTCTTAGCACAGACAGTCGAGAGGAGGAGAGCTCCATCTGAGAACCAGGTGTGTCCATGTGGATGTTAGTCCAGGACGACCAGCTTGTGTTTGGCCCTGAGGCTCCTCGTCATGACCAACAACACACCGAAGCCAGCAGGGGGATGGAAGGGCGTGACTCAACCCACCAGGGAGGTAAACAGATGGAACCAGCTGCCAGACCAGGCCCCAGGCTGGGAATGCACAACCCAGGAGCTCCGTGCCTGAGAATGGGTCCAGACCCAGAGCCAACTCCGCCATGCTCACCTGGCAGGAACAGCAGGCACAGGGCCTCTGGAGAACCACACCTGGGTGGGAGCTGGGTCCATGTGGAGATGAGCAAGGCTACCTGGATGGAGCAGCAGAGGCCACATGTGCAGGGCTAGCTATGGCAAGAGGGCCGGCCACCCTTACTTGTGCGGGAGGTCAACTTGTGCTGAGCAAGGCAGCCTTCGATCCGCGTGTCCTGGGAGCAGGGGCTGGGTCACAGAAGCAGAGCCTCCTAGTGATGGATTGGAGCGAGTGCATATTTTCGGGTGGTCCTGAGTGGGAAGCAGGGCAAACATGAGGGAAGCTGCAGTCCTTGGCCAAGCACTGCAAAGGCTCTGACTTGACTTCCTGTGCTGGGGACCACAGAGGTTGTGGACCCAGCTCCCTGGGCACCTACAGCCTGGCCCAGGCATTTGTCTTTGACTCTCTTGTCTGGCTTCTTCCCCTGCCCCAGCTGCTTCCTCTGTAAGCAGACTCTCCGGTGCCGGAGTGACTTGCCCACGAGTCACAGGGTTTTCACACACACAGAGCTGTGCAACTTCCTGGTGACTTCCTTGTCCAGCCTGCAGGCAGAGAGCCCCTTGGAAGCTCCCTTTCCACTGGCCCTGGCAGGTCTGCTTTAAAGGGACACCTCTCTCCTTGTCCTCATGCACCTCCTGACATGTCACTTTAGAACGATCTAATGTGCTACTTTTCATGACTTAATATTGTTTTCAAAAAGAAGAGAGGCATGAGTTGGTGGGGAGTAAATTGTTACACAAATCATAACTTGGAAAGTGGTGGAGCCCTGTGAGGGACCGTTTCTGAGACAGCTGGGCACGTGGAGAGCGAGCGCACGTGGGGAGCCCCTCTGGATGTGCTGCACACTGTGGTGGGGCCTGGGTCTCCATAGGTCCTTGCTTCTTCACAACCCAGACACTGGAGGTATCGCCTGCCCCATCAGTGGCCAGCCTGAACCAGAAGCTGGATGTCTCCTTTGTGTCAAAACCACAAGCTGAACATAATGGCTACCCAGGCAGGCCGGCTCCAAACCCATCATCATACCTCTGCTGCCCTTCACCTTCTGACTCATCTCTCACCTCAGTGCGGGGCACCAGACAGCCACTTTCCACCCTACACCTCCAACCCTTGGCAGTCACGCTTGTCATACCCACCCCAGATGGTCTCTGCTCTGCAGTGCTCCCACCTCACACGTCTATCTGTGCAAGCCTGGTACCCCCAGGCCTTCAGACTTCTTTTCTTTTCTTTTTTTTTTTTGGTACCGGGGATTGAACTCAGGAGCCCTCAACCTCTGAGCCACATCCCCAGCCCTATTTTGTATTTTATTTAGAGACAGGGTCTCACTGAGTTGCTTAGCACCTCGTTTTTGCTGAGGCTGGCTTTGAACTCGCGATTCTCCTGCCTCAGCCTCCCAAGCCACTGAGATTACAGGTGTGTGCCACCAAACCCGGCCACAGTTATCCTTTTGATCTGTGTGCCCTGCCTGAGGTCTTCTGCAGCTTGGAGACCACCCATCCTGTCCTCTGTGTCCCTTCCCCATGGGGGAGGGATTCATGGGCCCTGCAAGGTGCATGGGGCTGGTGCAGGGCACAGATGCTGTGCACTCTCCTCTCAGTATCCCAACCATGCAGCTGTACTCACTGATGTGGTGCCAACATGCATCTTTTCCTCCCTAGGACATCATCAACTCCATGAGCAACAGCCCTGCTACCAGCAAGCCCCCAGTGACGCTGAGGCTGGTGGTCCCAGCCAGCCAGTGCGGGTCCCTAATTGGCAAAGGCGGCTCCAAGATCAAGGAGATAAGGGAGGTACCAAGATCTTCCCCACCATCTCTCTGCACGTCCCCTATGCAGCCTGCCATCACTGGCACTAGCTGTTGCAGATTCTGATAGCCTGACGCTTACATGCAACAGGGACAGTCAGTCCAATGAACTAATGAAAAGTGGAGTGTGGGGGACCCACACAGTAGACCTCGTGTAGGGAGCAGCCCTGCTGGCGGTTAGGGAGGGTCTCCAGTCCTTCCTGTCCTGTGGCTCTGGGCTGCGCTCAGGCCTGAGGGCTTTGGGTCCCCGCTCTGAGCAGTGCTGATGGAGCCACAGGAGGTGTGGGTTCTCACACACACCTGACTCCAGGAAAGCTGAGCCTCCCCTGACATGGGAGGCACCACCCACTTGACACGCCCCCAGGAGGTCCCCAAGCGACCTGGACTCTGGAGGAGATGGGGTTCTGGGTGAGGAGAGAGCAGTCCATCTCCTGCAAACTCCATGCCCTCCCAGGGGCATGGCCTCCTGTGCAGTGTGCCTGCCCCTATGGGACAGCTCCTGCCTGAGGGCCATGTGCTCCTAGAGGAGACTGCAGAGGCTGGGTGTCCAGGCAGGGGTGGAGGGAGGGGACATAGGAGGCAACACTGTGGTCCTATGCAGCATGGCCAGCCAGGCCGTGTGTCAAGTGAAGGGCTGTCCATTGTGTAGACTACCCTGAGTATCCCCAAGATTCTGGAGATACCACGTATCCTGTGCACAATACCACCCTCCTTTTCTACTGCCCACTTCCAATGTCCCTTTTCTCCAGTCCACAGGTGCCCAAGTCCAGGTGGCCGGGGACATGCTGCCCAACTCCACAGAGCGGGCAGTGACCATTTCAGGGACGCCAGATGCCATTATACAGTGCGTCAAGCAGATCTGTGTGGTCATGCTGGAGGTACAGTCACGTCACCAGCCCACCCTCTCTGCGCTCAGCGCTGGGTTCACTCTGCGCTTGGCTGCCCTGCGTCCTGGCAGAGCCCAGGCACCTCCTTGATGCTGAGGATGCACACGGTTGGTTGGGGCATGACATGAGGATCTGGAAGTCCCTAGACCCAGCTTCCCAGGCTGCAGTTCCCTGGGGAGGGCAGCTGGGGTCTGCCCTTGCCCCCCAACACCCCCTCTGCCTGGATCATCAGTGCCACCTTTGTCAGCTCAGAGAGAGCACAGGAAGAAGCATACTTCTCTCACTTTGGAGCTGGACAGCTTTGTCCTGGTGAGAGGGTTTGAGGCCAGAGAGAGCCCGCCCTGGAGGGGCTGACCTTGTGGAGGCCAATGTGGTGGAGGTGAGGGGAGAGGGAGGGTTGCAGTGCCCATCTCAGCAGGATGGGGCCGGAAGCTTCCGTGTTCCCCAGGTCTGCAGATGGCACCAAGGACTGCCTCTGAGGCCAACAGGGCAGACTCAGGACGAACACACAAAGTGCCCAGCGTGGAGATAGAGATGAGGGCACAGAAGGATAAAACAAAGCAGAGGAGTCGCAGCAGACAAGGAGGAAAGAACCCAAGAATCAAATTCCAGTCAAAGCCAAAATGAAGCCAAATTCACGGCACTGTCAGTAGCTGCTTGTCTTTACTAAAGCGACTGCAACAAGCCCACCCCAGAAGAAAGGTCCTCCTGCCTCACGGGCGGCTGGCTTCCCCTCTGTCCCCCTCCCGTGGCCAGGCTGTGCGTCCACATCACACCTGGCTGGGGCTGGGGTCCCCCAGCAGCCATAGCCTTGCTAGAAGGCCACCAGCTCTGTCCCTTTTCATATTTGGCTCTGCGCTCAGACTCCGTGTTTCTTTTTTTGCTTGTTTTTCAGCACTGGAGATTAAACCCAGGGGTGTGCTTCCACTGAGCTACATCCCCAGCCTTTTTATTTTGAGATAGGGTCTCATTGATTTGCCTAGGCTGGCCTCAAACTTGATATCCTCCTGCCTCTGGAGCAGTTGGAATTTCAGGCATGCACCACCATACCCAGCCTCAAACCCCATGTTTAATTCTAAAATTTCGCATGATTTTATTTTCATGAGGTATGAGATTTTGAGAAGTCTAAAACATTTTTCAAAATATTCTTGTTGTGAATTTCCCCCACACGCTGGTCAGGGTTACAGAGTGTTTGTTGCTGGTCTGAGTAACTGGAAACCCGAGGCTCACCAAACAGGCCTGCAGGTGGCACCCTCGGAGTGGCAGCGAATGACCCTGCCTCCTACGTCCCTGGTCAGGGATGGTGCCCAGCTCTTAGGACAAAGTGTATGGTCTTGTCAAATTCCTCCAGCTGATTGCCTGCTGCTGGTGGTGGGAAGACACTGGCCCCCTCAGAGGCAGGTAGGGCCATGGGCTGTGGTATGTCGGTGCCCCAGGCTGAGTGTGAGAACCATCTTGACTCCTCCTGATGGTGTGACATGGGAGACAGGGAAGCTGCAGGTACAAACAGAAGATGGATGTTGGCCTGACAAGACACACCTATTCTTCACATCCTGTGGCTGGCAGAAGGTTGGGAGCTGTTCTTCCCAGGGGAGGAGGGTGCATCACCCACAGAAGCAGTGTAGCTGGAAATAAAAGCAAAGGATGGCTTGAGGCCCTCCTTGTCAATCAGAGGACTTTGGGGCTTGCGCATGGGGCATGCCTTGCACTCCTAAAATTGCAAAAGAATGGGCTGTCCCATGACAGATGAGCCTGCGTGGGGCCTGCAGATAACACAGGTGTCACAACTGTGGGCCACCTGCACTTCTGTGCCCATCAAGGAAAGGTCTGTGTGCTTGGCCCCTCCTGAGGAACATCGGCTGCTAGAGAGTCTCTCCTCTGTGGTGAGAAGGGCATTGGGAGTTACAGTCATGCAGTACTGCAAAACAGGGCAGGGGAGAGGAGCTCTGGGCTGAGGCCCTGGCCTTCCTTGTTGGGGCTGAGAGGCTGCGGAGGTCGGCCAGGGGCAGGGCAGCAGTGGTACAGTACAGAGGTCAACTCTGGCCGTCCAGCATGATTCTTCCACAACCAACCCTGAGTCTGAGTACGAAGCCTTGGCCTGAAGTGAGCCCTGGTCTGCATGGAGGCACTTGGAGGCATTTGGTCAGTACTTCACGAACACAGAAGATGGGCCTCCCTATTGCTGGCATCACCCAGACCCAGCCTGGGCCTGCTCACGCCCACTCTGCACCATCCCCACCACAACACTGTCACCCAGCAAGGCCTGTGCTACCATGGACACTGTGCCCACCCTGAGGGGTGGGTCCCCCATCGTGTGCTCAAAGGTCTCACCCAATAGGCCTGGGGTGCCGCTGGCCCTTGAGTGGTCTGTGGCCCCAAAACACCCACCGGCAGGCTATTCCCAGCCTCCCTGTGCTGCAACAGCCTGTAGCCCTCAGTGCCTCCTGGCCCATCCCTCGGACCTGCTCCCAGGGGACAGGGAGTGGGGCCAGGTAGTGGCTGACCACTCCTGACCAGGTGAAGAGGGCTGGGGAAGGTTATGGTGCTTAAGAATGTCCTTCACCTAAGATAAGAATCCTACATTTTGGACACAGAATAACCAAGGAAAACTATAGCAAACCTCATCTTGATTGTGGAATACTTCATTTGGCATCTATGTAATAAAATGGTGTTTTTCTAATGGCAACACTGGATGTTTATGAGTTTCCTGGGACCATCTCCACTAATTGTTGTCATGGACCAGGAAAGCCCTGGGGGCATTGGACAGCAGTTCCCACAGCGCTGTGTGCGAGGCTCAGCTTTTGCCAGAGAACTCAAGCGTTTCTGTCAGAGAATGCCAAGCTGTCCACCTGTGAAGTCACAGCCAGGCCCAGCTCATGGATGCCATGCACATTCTGGTCCTCGAGGGCCACACCAGGAGGAAGGGTGGCGGCAGGATGAGCGAGCACTGCAGAGCCCACCTCAGCCAGCAGCCCTCAGCAGGGTCCCACGAGCAGGTGGCTGCCCTGCTGGCCTCCCATAACCGACACGCCACACTACACAGCGCTGCCACGTCCTGCTGGACTGGGCGGCAGGGTCGTGTTGGGGTGGGGGCCTTGGTGGGAAGGAGCCTGTCTGGAGGAAGTGGCCGTGAGGATGGGGGGCACCGCCCTGCCCTTGGTGTTCTGCGAGGATGCTCGGCTCCTCATGGTGCCCCCTGGAATGGGCTGCTCCCTCCAGCACCGCCACAGCCTCTGAGCCCTTGCCTGGGCCAAGTCTGCAGCTTGGGGTCTATGCAGAGGGGCGGGCTCGGGAAGGCAGCCCCCACGGCCAGCTGCCAGGCTTCTCTAACGCTCTCTCTCCCTCTCCTGTCCCTTTTCCTAGTCCCCACCGAAAGGTGCCACCATTCCCTACCGCCCAAAGCCCGCCTCCACCCCTGTCATTTTTGCAGGTGGTCAGGTAAGAGCCGACCCGCTCGCGGCCTCCACTGCCAACCTCAGCCTTTTACTGCAGCACCCGCCGCTGCCCGTTAGTGCACTCAGGTTTTCTCGCCTTCTCACGTGCACGTCTCCCACCCACCGGACAGATGCAGAGCTCTCCTGGCCCACACCAGTTGGCGGGTGGGAGCAAGGGAGACAGGTCTCCCGAGTGTGGCCCCTGACCTAGACAGGAGGGACCCTCACATCAGGGCACACAGGTCTCTGCCCAGGCCACACCTGCCAAACCTAGTTCTTGGATGTGACTGAGCTGCTTGGGTAGAGACAAGGGCACCTGGGCAACTTACGGCTCGTGTTGGAGGCAACTGGGGCTGTGAGAACTAGGGTCCCCAGACCCCACAGCGCACTCCAAGTAGGAGCTGTGCAAACACGAGAGGAGGGAGGAGCAGCTGCAGGCCAGGCAGCCCTGGTCCTGCTGGCCCTGCTGGCCCTGACACCCCCGCCCTGCCACCTGCCCTAGCAGGTGTCCACAAGTCACAGAGCACCTGCGTTGACAGCCCAGATCTTGCACATTTTAGCCCCCCACCCTTGTTTTCCTGGAGAAGAGACCTGGAAGGATGGGGTAGAGAGGAACTGTGTGCTCTGGCTGGGCCAGACCCCTGGAGAAGAGGCAGGAGAAGGGCCATGCCCCGGCTTCCTCCTTTGTGGCCACCTCAGGCCATACTGCCCATCCACACAGATGATTTGCACACGTCCAGCTGGGGTTGACCTGGAAGAGCTCTGTGTCCGGCCGGCCGCGATGTCTGTCTTTGTTCAGGGGAGAGTTGAGAGAGAGAGATGTCCCCACAGGTGGTCCAGCCGGTGCCGAGTAGGCATGGGAGTTTATCATCTAAAAAGAAGGAGGACAAGAAAAATGTTTCCTCATGTCTTTCTCATGGTGTGGAGAAATCTTATCAGATCCTGCGACTGGCCCGTGGTAGAGGAAGGGACAGGGAGCCTGCATTTCCATTCCTTTGGCCAGATACATGGTGCATCCTCAGGCTTGCCCCCACCCCACCTGTCTCATGCCTTTGGTCTGCCCCTCTGTCGGCAGGGAGCCCTCTTGGGCACACCGTCCTCACGCAGCCCCAGCATGTGGCCCATGTCCTACTTCAGATCAGAAAGCCAGGCCCTGCATGGTGAAGGGCTGCAGGCTGCCCTGGTGGAGCACACGCCATGCAGCACCTCCTCACCGCAGCTCCACCGCACACTCCCACGAGTTCATGGAGGTTGGCGTCGGCAGACCCTGGGGACTCCCCCAGTGTTGAAGCAAACCCTTGATGGCGTCTGCAGTGAAATGTGGGGTTCGTTCACTCCAGGGGAGGTGACTTTATCCAGACACGTCTGCAGAGCCAGATGACATGAGCTCTGGTGGTAAAGCCACCACAGGGGGACCCCATCTGCCTGTGAAACAGGCAGATGCACCACCCCTCCAGTCATTGCCATGTGCCCTCCAGGTCACGGTGCCATGGCGTTTGTAGGGCCCACCACTGTGCCCTTGGAACAGTGTGGTAGCCAGTGATGGCCTTGGTTGTGACATGTGGATAGTCACACAGGAGTCACTTCTGAGTGCAGGTCACCCAGGAAAGGATCCAAAATGCAAACTGAGAAGTGAGGTACAGCAGAACTCAGAAGTATCTGCTTAGGCCACGACCCAAGGTCTCCAGGACTCAAGCCCCCACATGCCCAAGAGTAGCATGCATGACCGACACAGAGGAGGGAGCCTGGCACTCGTCCCCTTGAGCAGGGGAGTGACGATGCCACAGGTAAGGGTGCTCAGCAGCACTGTCCACACAGCTGTCACTGCAGGCATCACCTGGGCACCCTCAGGCAGAGCCTACAGGGAACAGGCAGGTGTGAGACGGCCCACAATGAGCAGTGACCTAAGCAGCACTCACTCACAACTCAGCTCAGACCTGTGGGCCCAGAGAGAACAAACCCCTGTGTCCCAGGGGCCTGGCCCATGGGTACTGCAGAGGTCCCTATAGTAGCTAACACATAGGAGCACGTCCCTGGCAGCAACTTTGCAGAACCTGAGGCTGGGTCTCCAGGCCCTGCTCCTTTCCTAGAACATCGCTGTATCTGATAAGATTCCTCTACTCCCCCCCTCAGCACAGTGGGGCTGTCCCAGCCAGCACCTTGCTCCACTGGGCCTGACTGTGTTTCAGAGCTGGACTGCGGCTGGGTCCCTGTTGGGTGGTAGATTGACCTTGAACTCCTGGGATGGGTTGTTGATGAAAACTCTGGACAGATTAGAAACCTGTGGGAGGGCCTGGGGTCCAGAGAAGTGACCTGTGGTCTCCGCTGAGGTCTCCCTCTCAGACATCGGTGACCCTGAGTGTAGACACAAGTGGACAACACATGTCCTATTGGGATGGGGGCCCCACACATCCAGGTGCCAGAAACCACATCCTCACCCTGTGCTTCCACCAGGCCTGGTGGCCCCCCAGCAAAGCCAGGTCCACCTTCTGTGCGCTTGCTCTCCCTTGACTCCGTGGCTCCTACATGATCTGGCCAGGAGCTTCTGGATCACAGGAGGCATCTGGGCTGAAGGGACCACGGGGGCTCTGCCATCACTGGGCATCAGGGTGAGGTGGGCAGGCCCTCAGAGTGGATGGTGGCTGAGCTGGCTCAGTCACAGAGCTCAGGCAAGGAGATCGTGAAAACGAGTCCCAGGGTCCCATAGACACTCGGAGGGAAGCCCCCCTTTCGGGATGCAACTGTAGATTTGATGGGAAGAACCAACTGGGCCGAATTAGGTCTCCTCCATCTGGCTTTTGCAGGTTTGGGTCATCTTTTAAAGCTTTCTTTTTCTGTTTGAATGTTTTGGGGGCAAATATTTCCCCAACTATCTACTCTGAGGGTTGATTAATATTAATGGACCTCTCACTTGGGTCAAGTAAATCACCCTCAGGGCTTTCTTTTAGGAAAAGGGGTGAGCTCGGCCGTCCCCTGCCTCCTGCTGGTGTGGCCGCTCAGTGGGCTGCCGCTCAGGGAGGGGTGCAGCTCTCTGGCCTGCCCTGGCCTCCTCCTCTGGTGGTGGCTCAGGCCTCCTTCCCTGAGAAGAGTGGCCCTTGTCCTGAGCAAACAGGAGCAGGTAGAGGAGCACACTGAGGGAGAGGCTGTCACCAGAGGGTTCTTGTTGTGCAGGGGAGGGTTCCCAGGGTGTGGCAGGCCGAGGTCTGCCAGGATATGAGCTGAAGGTCTCTCTCTCTTTCTCCAGGCCTACACGATCCAGGGACAGTACGCCATCCCCCACCCAGATGTGAGTCTTCACTTTGTCTACCTTCCACCCTTCTATTCTTTCTGTCGTGTGCCCACCTGCATGCCGCTGTTAGTTGCTACTAATATTAATATTACATAATAATATTAACCAGTTTTCTCAGTGCTCCTGACCCGTGTTGTATCCATATGACCTCGAATAACCTTTTGACCTCTTGGCACTCATTCCGCTTGTGCTGAGGACTTGGCCTGATGGCAGATTGTTTCCGCTGACTGCTACAGTCCAGGGCTCCCTCCCACACACGCACACTGAGATGGCTGCGGTGGCCCCCACCCTGCAGGAGCCACCTGCCCTGATGGCAGGGTGCCAGCTCACCTTCTGCAGCAGGTGTGGGCGCAGTGTTCTAGGTGCACCTAAGGAGTTAGGCGATGTTTTCAAGATGGGTCTTCTAAGGTACCTTGGAAACGGCACCTGAGTGCCTGGTGGAGCAAAACAGTCCCCTCCAGAGCCCAGGCTGAAGCTTAGAGTGCACCATGCACAGACCCCAGTGTCAAAAGCCGGCAAGCCCTCGTTTCCTCCTGGAGTTAGAAAGATGCCACACAGTAGCTCTGGCGCCCGGGCTCCTATCTGAGCCGTTCAAGCTGAGCCTGTCGTGCTGCTCCTCGACCAGGGTCTGCTCTGGTATCGCCTGGTCACAGGACAGTCTAAATGTACAATTGGTATTTGTACCAGCAGTTCTCTTTGCAGAGATCTGGGTGCAGAGGGGACCACAGTGGCACTAGAGCAGTGGGGCTACAGCCTTTAGGGGCCCAGAGAAAAAGGGCCACAGCTATGAGCAGAGGGTGTTCTTGAGAAGGCTTTAGAGATATCAGTCAGTGGGGTCTGTGCTAGAAAACAGAAATGAGGGGGAGGGGGGAAACAGGAGAGCAGCCAGGTAGGATCCTCTGTGTGTGCAAGTTACTTCTGAGGCCACAGCGGTCTGTGCGATCTCCACTCAGCCCTAGAGCTAGGCAGCCGTCAGGCAGGGCTGGGCCCACTGAGCCTGTGGTGCCCATCAGTCTTCTCCAGATCCTTGCATTTGAGTTGAGCAGGAAGCAGAAGCTCATCTGGATAAGAGCTGAAGGCAGGACAGGGGAGATTTTTTTTTTTTAAAATTAACTACCACTAAAGAATTTGAAATAGAGGCAATTCACTATCATTGCAGGAAAATTTCTATTGGGTGAAAGATGAATACTACTGGGTTTTATTTTTCCTTTAAATGAAGCACACACAAGTCAATGATGGAGAAACAAGGATAAGAGGGGTCCTTCCCACCTGCAGTCACACTCAGGCATGTATATTGGCTCTTGGTTTTAGACGTGACTGATACTGCTACGACTGGTCAACTGTGGACACATCTGCCTGTGGCCACCCTGGAGGCTGAGGCCGTGGGCCACCTTGCGCCCACTGCCACATCCCTTCTTCCCTCAGCCTGCACTTAGCTGTCAGTGCCACATAAGCAGAGCATGTGCACTCCTATGCCCAGAGAGGCTGCCTCACTGTGGCCCATGGCCACTGTAGAGCACTTGAAGTGAAGGGGGCAGGTGGGGCCAGGGCTTGGCTTCCAGGATGGCCAGTTTTCCTGAAATGCATGTGTGCAGACGCAGATGCCAAAGTCTGGCTGTCAAACCTAGAGCCTCAGACAGCAGAGTCTGGCACCCTGGTGGAGGCAGCTGGCTGAAGAGGTTGAGTGTTGTCTGTTTTTACACCAGATGGTAGTTTCAGAGTCAGACCTCCTGACCTGCAGGGACCATTTGGCAAGCTGGTGGGTTTCCTTCAGGCAAGAGCCCAAAGCTCGCACTGATCTTTTAGAGAAGGTGCGGACACTTGCCTTGATGGAAATGTATTTCTGGACTGAGATTTGCAGAGGTTGCGGCTTAGGCGTGTGTGTGGGAGTGAGATTTCGATTGGCTTGGTTGGCTGATCTGTTTTGAGTGGTGGTTTTGCTCTTCCCCACGTGGCTTTCCTCAGTACCTCTCCAGTAGGTAGTTTACAAATTGTTTCAGATTAGTTTAAGCTAATGAATAACTATTATGCAATCGCCTCTTCGGTGTGGTGAGATTTGAAGTACTTGGTGCTGTGGTTTGAATGTGTCCTTCCAGAGTTCATATGTGGAGACCTAATTGTGACAGTGATGGCCTCAGAAGGTGCCTCTGCAGGGAGAGAAACGTGCAAGGCCTGAGCCTCGTGAGTGGAATTAGTGCTCTTAAAAGAGGCCTCAGGTGTGGATGTGGTGGTGCGTGCCTGTGATCCCAGTGACTGGGAAGCCAAGCCAGGAGGATCCCAAGTCTCAGGCCAGCCTCATCAACTTAGGGAGGTTCTGTCTCAATATAAATTTAAAAGGGTTAGGGATTGTAGCTCTGTGGTAAAGCACCACTGGGCTCAATCCTCAGTCACACACACACACACACACACACACACGAAACAAGGGAAGGAGGATTTGCTTCAGGGATTTGCCTCCCCTCTGTCCCTTTCACGTGAGAACATGGCACTCAGGGCACCACCTTGGAAGTAGACAGGGGCCCTCACCAAACTCAGAGCCCATGGCATTTGATCCTAGGCCTCCAGGCCCGTTAACTGAGCAGTAAGTTATGCTGCCTGCAGATTATCCAGTCTAAGGTCTTTGGTTGGAGCAGCCCGAATGGACTAGGCCTTGGTCATTTGTCCTGAGATGGCTGTCTGTGGAAGTCATTCTGTTCTCTGTAGCAGTGTCGTGTGACTTGCAAGCAGAGTGGGGTATTCCCAAGTGCCTTTCTTGCAGGCACATGAAATAAAGTCTTGGGCAACCACTTGGATAACCCACAGAAAGCAAAGGCAAGACGATTGCTTAGTGACACAGGTGATGGTGGCTCGCTCCAGACGTGCATTTACCTGAGCTTCGTGCTTGCTTGTAGGAATTTTAAGGCTTCAGTTTCTTAGAAGGAAAATATGACTACAGGACAAGCTAACTGACTTATTTCACAGTGTGACTGAGTACAAAGTGCATGCCCACCACAGTGACTGGCACTTGGGTCCTGCAGTCTCTTTCGGCAGCTTGACTTCCTGTCTGGATGTGCATGTCCAGTTCAGACGTGTGGACCTGATAAAGGTCTGCTCCTTGCCACTGAGTGCTTTGTCTAGACCCAGAACATTCGCATGTCCTGTGCTGGTTTCAGACAATGCTTTTAGGTGCTTTTAAGTGGACCCTTATTTAATAATCCTGAATACTGGCCCACCCCACAGCTTCCTGCTGCCCTCCACACACCCCCTGCGTTGTTCACCCAAACCCCCTGGCCGCTCCTGGAGCTCTGGAGGTTCAGGCATCATGAAGAGGCACAGAATGCTCCTGAGCAGGGGAGGACTTGGTTCAACACCCCCAAGTTCCCCAGGATGGTGATCAGCAGCCTTGGGAAAACTGTCCATGCACCATGGTGTCCTGCCAGGATCAGGTCAGGTGTGGTCCAGATTCACGGAAGGGAAACAGCACCAGTATTGGGGCATGGAACAGGAAAGAGGGCACGCAGAGCCTGGACAGACATGGAGACCGGGTGGGCTGCAAGGCTTGCTTCCTCCTGTTTCTGTCATTTTACTTACAGTGGTGCAGTTAACCCCAGGAAAGGCTTGCTTTCCTCTTGGAGAAACCGCACACATGCTCGACTTACAATAGCGGTGTGTCCCGATAAGCCCTCATAAGTAGAAATTGCACCTAAAGCACAACCTGCCGAGTCTCCTGGTTTAGCCACAGCTCAGCCCAGGGTCAGCTCTGTACCGTCATGATGGCAGACTTGAACTCTTGCTGCCCCGCATCCCCGTGGAGTGTGGAGCACAAATCACCAGCTAGAAGAAGGCCCAAGCTCCAGGCAGTTTCTACTGAGTGCATATTGTTTAGACCACCACAAGGCCAGATCGTGGGAAGTCAGGGGCCCTCAGTGAACTTAGAAGCACCCTCAGGCATGCATCTTTATATCTAGCCTTCGGAGTTTCCAGACCACTCCCTGGCTTGGCATCCCCATCAATTGAAGGATGAAGAAAGCAGCAAAGTTGAAACCATAGCCTGTGAGCAATGACAGAGGCTTTGCCATCTGTCCTCTCCAGAGCCTGCACAGCCAGGAGGTCCACCCCAGGACTGTCGGCCTCATACCTGAAAGAAGCTCTGAGAGATTCCCCTGGCAGAGAGGAGGGGCAGTGCCATAGAGGGTGTTGAGCACTCTGGAGTGGTCAGCACCAGGACTGATAAGGAATTTGCTCTTCATTTGGAATATAGTGGGGAGAATGTGGAGGTGTGTATCAGAGTAAAAGAAAAACGTGGGCTGGTGTGCAGCCAGACCATGTACTGGAAGTGCCTTCATCCCAGCGTCTGTCACAGTGCCTCTGAGGTGGGGAACACTTACTGTGGACCTGTGGAGAACAGAAAGTCTGTGTACTGCAGAGCTTGGGGCAGAGAGCTGTGGAGAGCCTCCCCTCCCATTTGTTCATCTTCTCCCTCCAGAACCCTGTAGAGAGGTGGGTGAGAGGACCCTCTCGTTGATGGTAAGAAAAGAGGAAAGAGCCAACACCCCATCCCATGGACACACAGCTGATGGCCACACCCCGGGCCCTGAGCCTGTGTTCTTGCCAAGATGCTGGATCAGGAGTGCTACGGAAGCTTCCCCGGCTCCACCCGCTGCCAGAGGGTGGCTGCAGTCCTGCCTCACAGAACTGGAGGCCCAGATTAGCCTTCAGTGCTGGCTGGAGCTGTCTTCCTACCGCCCTTCTCTCTCCCCCAGGTCAGGCACACAGAGCAGCACCTCCTATGCTGTGCCCTTGAGTGCAAGGCTCTAGCTCAGTTCCTCCACCTGCCCTCAGGAACAGACACTGGCTTCCCAAGCCCATCGCATGACTTGTTCGCATGGGAGTCTAGAAACACTGGTGAAGAAAGGTGACAGGGAAGAGCATGCCCGTGAGTGGAGGCCAGGAGCTACTAGAGTGGAGAGGACAACTACGAGGTATGGCCTGAGGATTCTCCCAAGTTAGTAGAAGAAGCCAATCCTCACATTTAGGAACTCCAACAAATCCAAACAGGATTAACAAAAAGAAATCCATCTTACATCTATGTAATACCAAGGCCCAAGGTCAAGTCTTAGAAGTAATCATATAGAGGAAGAATGTTATAGAGGGAGAGCAGTGAGAAATCTGGTTGACTCTTTTAAAAATCTTGCCTTATTAAAAGTTAAAGAGGACAAAAAGATCTAACTAAAGGAGAGACGTACCATACTCATGGATTAGAACACTAAGAATTGCAAAGATATCCGTTCTGTCCAAGTCGCTGTACAAATGCAATATAATTCCAGCCAAGATCCAAAAAAATCTTTTTCATGCCATTTTAAAATTCATATGGAAGGTGGGGGTGTAGCTCAGTGGTAGAGTGCTTGTGTAGCATGTGCGAAGCCCTGAGTTTGGTCCCCAGCAACACACACACACACACACACACACACACACACACACACACATGGAAGAGCACTGGTCAGGAATACAGCAGAAGGGAGATCACCAGAGTGGAGCACATGGCTGGGGAGGGAGGGAGGGAGGGAGGAGAGGTGCTGGGGAGTGTTATAAGTACGAGCAGGAATGGCACTGTGAGTCCAGCTCTGTGTACAGTGACAATGCATCAGTAAAAGAAAAGAAAAATAAGCTTCCACAGAAGAGAGGGAGAAAAATAAGAATCATCAGCATATCCATGAGAAGGATAGGGAGACTTGCCTTTGCAAGTAGGTCACGGCAACCCAGATTGCACTTCATGTGCAAGGAGGGACAGCCAGTGACCAGGCACCCAGCATCTGAGCCTCAGGTGAGGAGACCTATTGCACGCAACCACTCAGTGCAGACCCCAGGAGAAAAGGGATCACTCAGAAATGATGCCCGAGAGCTGGCCATCCCAGGAAGAGTGGACATTCATAACCAACAAAACCATCCTCGTACACCAAGAAGGTCAACGTGAGAGCGAGCTGAGACATGTTAGAAGGGAGTTCAGGAGAATTCCCTTCCTTTCTCATCAGGGAAAGATTTCTTAAAGAAAACACCAGCCTAGACCAGAATGGGGGACTGGTGGGTCAACTGCACTGCAGATGTGGAGTCCTGCTTCTCTAAAGACACCACGAGCAGAGAGGACAGACCTCTGTGGCCCGACAACCAAGGCAGGTTGACATCCGAGTCAGCAGCGACAACCCAGGAAGGAGAATGGGCAGAAGACATGGCATCCTGGACAGCTAGTGCTGGGCAGATGAGAACACTGTGTGTGTCTCCACTGGCCTGAATGGGAGCACAGGGGCCTGCGCCGTGCAGCGTGGGCCAGCACTCATGGCCCCAGTGCTGGTCTGCTTTTCTGTTCCGGTGCCGTAAAGTGAAGGGAGAGTGGGGCCTGGCTGTAATGCGGTGGGTGCCTCCTTGCCTCTCCCCTCCTCCTACCCGCTGCCACACTCCTTTCTTTATCCCTCCCTCCTGGTGACCTGGAAGCACTGGAGCCACAAGTGTGGTTCTTTTAAATGTTAGAATTATCTTTAAAGCTCCCTCAGCACTTAGTCCTGTTCTCTCCTTTAAAAAAAAAAAAAAGTGGAAATTGAGTCCCAAGAGGAGAGGGCCGATAAGCAGGGCCAAGCCAAGATAAGAAAGATGCCAGCTGCCTTCCCCGGCAACCCACCATCCACTTACTCACTCAGCACTGCCCGCCAGCACTGGCCCACTCTGGCCTCAGTCTATCTTTGGGGGGTGGTTATTTGCTAATGTGGCAATTTTCTCTTAAAAAACAGAAAGTATATGGAGCTAGGAGGGTTAGGGTGATAGAATTGAGCTACTGAATGTCAGTCTGGAGGCCAGTGGAGCCAGCCTTGAGAAGCACTTGTTTTACCTGTAACGTGACCATCCTGGCAGATGGCTTTACCTGTGTGCCCAGCAGGTGAGGCTGCAGAGTAGGTGGGCAGCTGGGATGGGCAAGCCACAGCTGAGGCATGGCAGCACTCCAAAGCTGCCCTTCACTCACAGACCCCTTTACAGATTAGAGAACTGAGGCCTGTAGAGATCGGAAGCTCCCGTGTCCACATGGACCAGCTGAGGCCAGCTCCCTTGCCCCCAGCCAGTGTGCCTCACAGTCCTGGTGACATCCAACCACATGGTCTCCAGAGATGCAGGGCAGATGGAAGGGTGCTATCCCTCTGGGGAGCAAGGCAGCCTGGCGGATGCACGTAAGAGCCCAGGAATAGCAGCTGTGAGCAGAGTACAACTGTCGGGATGCCCCAGGCCTGTGGGTGCTCACACAGGTCCCCACCCATCACCTACCCCTGAGGCTCACTGCAACCCCGGTCCTGCTGCAGGGCTGCAGCCCCAGGGGTGTCCTGGGAGCACACTCCTCACTAGGGTGCCCGAGAGCTCTGCTCCCTCCTGCCCTCTGTGGTGGAACATGGTCTCCCCTGTTCCTTGGCCTTGGCCATCTTGCCTGGACTTCGACTGAGGTCCTGGTGATGTTGTCTCCTGTCCATGCTCTTCTAGCCTTTACCAGGCAACTCCACTCAGGAAGTTTAACCACCCATCAAGGTCAAGTCACAGGACACACGTGGGCCAGGGGGAACCAGGCAGCGCTGTACCTGGGGCGGGCAGCTGGTGCTGTGACATGCCAGGCTGCAGGTATACCATTAGCTTTCTCGCCCTTGCTGTAGCCTTGTCAAACCCCCCTTCAGGGGACACAGAACCGTAGCTGACCCCAAGTCACCATGTCCCTTGACCTGAGCTGCTCCTAGGACGAGCTAGGACTCCCCCTTGCAGACCCAGCCCAAGTGCCAAGGCTCAGGGAACAGCCAGGAAGCTAGGAGAAGGCTGCTTTCAAGATATGCCCAGTGTAAACATGGCCACCTTTCCTGGGGAGGGAGGAACTAGACATCTGACAGGCAAGTGTCCCTCCAGAGCCAGTGCAGGGAACACACTGCACTCTCCAATTTCACTACAGTTGGCAGTCTGGGGGCACGCCCATCTAAGTTCCATCTCCAAGGTGTGATCTCTGAGGCCACAGGCCTGTTCTCATGTCAGAATCCCACACAGTAGATGCAGGGAGAGGCCAGGCTGGCCAGCCAGCACCCCAGGAACCCCATTCCCACAGGCCCACCCCAGCCCCTACCTGGCTCAGGGTGAGGAAGGGCCAGCCAGGGAGAGCGCCCTGACCCTCTGCAGGGCGGGGAGCTGGGTGCAGAGGAGGCCTGGATGGCTGCTGCTGTCCTGCATGGTCCTGTGTGGAGGAACTGGATTCCACTGTGGGAAGGTGCCACTGCCTCACTTGGCACACCCCCAGCCTCCGCCTATTAGGTGGGGTGGTCTCTGTGGCAGCTGGGACATTGCCCAGAAAGCTCGTAGCCCTGGAAGAGCCCAGGCCTGAGGAAGGCCAGCGCCCTCTGCCCTGGGGCCCCACGCCTCGAGAAGGTGGGAGAATTCCAGGCAATCTAACTCTGCTCCCAAAATGTGGACTAGTTGACCACATTCTACCTGCGTCTTCTACTGCTCTCCGTTTTATTTAAGAAGTGAGGCTCGGGTAAAGAAACTGCCTGTCAAAGCCTCCCGGAAAAGCCTGTCTGGTGGCGGGCTGAGGAAGAACCTGCAGAAGCAGTGGGCACGGACAGAGGCTGATTCACACAAGAGCCTGCAGCCCGGGGGTCCCTTGGGATCTCACCCATGCCCTGTAACCCCACGTAAGTCAGGAATCCCTCGAGAGGACTGCAGGGAGGGTGCATGGCCCTCACAAGGCTCCCAGGCCGCTGTCTAAAGTGAGGCTGCAGGGCAGGGCCGAGGATGTGCCTCTGGAGCCCAGAGGTGTGAGACCCTTAGAAGCCCAGTGTTCCTGCTCCATGGCCCTCATATCCCCCTTGCACCCCTTGACCCAAGGACCCTGCCAGCCTCCCCCACACACACAATGAGGCCTGGTGAGAGGGAGGCAGGGCTGGTTCAGGCCCCACGGCTACTGACAGCCAGGCCCACCGGTTCCACCCAGGCCAAGTCCTTGAGTCCTGCTGCGTCTGCCATGTGTCCGCATGGCCCCCCTCTCTCTCTCTGTGCAAAGTTCTGTTACTGCCATTTTGATTTGGTGTACTTGTGCTCGATGACAATAACCTTCTTAGCTCTCGTGTCCCTCCTGCCCCAGCAGCTGACCAAGCTCCACCAGTTGGCCATGCAGCAAACCCCCTTTCCTCCCCTCGGACAGACCAACCCCGCTTTCCCCGGTACGTACCCAGCTGCCCTTTCTGACCTCCTTCTCTTCCTCCTGGGGACTTCCTCTGAACTGCCCTTATGCCGAGCAGCGAGCAGCGCAGGCGCAGGCGCAGTGGAGGCTAAGGCCCAGGCTGCAGTCATGCAGTGGGCTTGCACGCAGCGGGGCCAGGGCCAGCTCAGCGTGTCTGGCTGGGGGCTAGTTTGCCTCATGTTGACCTTGGGTGTCCTTGCCTGTGCAGAGACATCTGCCCCTCCGTGGATCCACGCTTGGGCAGCAGTGCTCTGTGCTGCCCACGGGCCGTCCTGTGGCCCTTCCTGTGGAGGCATCCAGGAGGCCAGCCCTGGGGCATTTCCTCTCCAGGAGCAGGTTCCACAACCACAACGTGGCTGCACTTCTCAGGGTGGCCCAGCCCTGGATGGCACCAGCCCTGCCAGGGAAAGCAGTGATGTGAGCCAGCCCGGCCCAGGCTGTGGTGAGGCAGTCAGAGCAGCCGGCCGTGGCCTAGCCCGACATCTGGCTGCCGGGCATCCTCCCACAGAGGCAGAGCAGCTCCAGTGGCTGTGGCCGGTGACAATCTATCACCGTGTGTGTTAGCCGTGCCCGTGCCAGTCATATTTTGAGCTTCCCTAGTTGAAGGGACCTTGCTTATCTCCTTGAGGGCAAAACATTAAACCTGTCTCTTCTTTGCTCTCCAGGAGAAAAGCTGCCTTTACACTCCTCCGAAGAAGCTCAAAATCTGATGGGCCAGTCGTCAGGTAAAGCAGACCACACTGGTGGGGCTGTAGGCCACGGGGGTCCCAGCCCCTGCAGCAGGCTGTTCTGCAGGAGGAGGGCGGGACCCCACTCACACCTGGGGACAGGGTTTGTGTGCCTGGCCTGCACACCTGCCAGAAGTTGGCAGCATTAGTGGCTTGGGACTAAAGACAGGCGCTGCCCAGAAGCCCCACAAAGGTCAAGCAAGGTGGCTGTCACCACTCTGTTGGCTGGCTGGTGGGTCTGGGCGTGCGCAGAGCTGACAGTGTGCACCGCGAGGGGAGGGCCTCTGCTGTCATGGTCCTCGTGGTGAGGCAGCTCTGCTGGGAGGGAGCTCCTGACCTTGCCTTTTAGAAAGTGTTCCTCAGGGCTCTGAGAAGACCTGAGGAAGGTGAGCACGGCCTGTCTGTGCCTCCTTCTGATGTGCATCACAAGTTTGCCCTTGGGACACTGCAGCAGGGAGTGCAGAGATCTGTAGATTCTGTGACAGGGCACGAGGCCCACGTTGTCTGGGTGTGAAGCCTTTGGAGGAGCCATGCTGGGGCTAAACCAGCTAGCAGGTTTCCTGGGTCCCTGTGATGGAAATGCTGTGTACCCTTCACCCCGTGTGAACTGCCCGAGCACATGGCCAGCATTGTCTGGCTTCCTGGCTGCCTCCCCTCACCAAGGCCGGAGCCCTGCAGCACCCAGGGCAGCATCTGAAGAGGGGTAGGAGAGGAGGGACATTGGCCTGAGCTCTGAGGGCTGCCTGGGCTGTCTCCTGTGCTGGGAATTGCTGCTTCCGCGTCAGACAGATGAGCGCGTGCTCCGAGCAGAGTCTTCAACTATCCGCTCAGTTGGTATATGCTCTTAAGAAGAGTTCTGCCACTTTCCTCCCTCAGTCAAAACAGGCCAAGTCCTTAAGTGTGGCCCCTGTTCCTGGCTCATCCTGAGCAGTCAGGACTCAGGACTAAGGGAATCTTTCAAGTGACATTTTAGATGTCACCATTTATGGACTGTGTACAGATAGTTAAAAAAAAAAAACAAGTAGTTATTGTATTGAAAAGATATGTTATGAAAAGAAGATAAAGACCAGAAATTCCAAGTTTAGATGTGCAAAAGAAAAAGAACAAAATCTGGGATGAATTGAATTGAACCGCTCGCTTCCATTGGGACCCCACTGTGCTGGGCACTTCCCTCAGGGCCTCTCCCCTTGGGAGACTAGAGCAGGCACCTGCCAGGGCGGGGGCCCAGGTCCTTGAGGGTCACTGTGGGGAAGGTGGAGCTCGCCGAGGTTGTTTTGGGGAGACACCCAGGGCTATGCAGAAACGAGACTGAGGCAAGGGCAGAGGCAGGACCAGAGGGCGAGAGAGGCCACCTGGCAGGTCTGGGTGGTTGGAAGGAGCAAGAGCAGGGCTCAGCCATAGCCTTGCAGGTTGAAGTCACCTCTTGTTGAGGAAATGGGTCACCAAGCGCAGAGACCTCTTGCACTCAAGGAGCAGCCACGTGGCATCCATCTCAGGGGCTCCTTGTGCCCTATTTCCAAGGCCAGAGAGGGCGCTTAGGCTCTGAGGAGCTGTCTCTCAGTGGTGTGCAGGCTGCGCCCTGAGAAAACAAAGCCTGGGCTACGTGGTGGATAGACCTCTGTCCTCAGTCTCCACTGCAGGAGGAAGGCTTTACAGAAGTGCAGTCTGCGCTGGGTCTAGAGTCCACCATGTTGCGACCTGGGCTGTCCCAGCTGACGAGGACTGGGCTCTGATCAGAGTTGGGTCAGAAACATAATAAACAGCAAGTGCTCTGTGGCCGCTGGTCACTGCAGCAGGACTGCCTGGGGTCAGGGGTCAAGCAGAGCAGGCTGTGAGCCAGAGAGGTCTCCAGGAGCTGAGGAAGAAGGGGTGCTCAGGGTCAGCATGGCCTGTGCCCTGGACACACGTGGATGCCTGAAACATGGTGATGCCCTGCTCAGCCCGGGGCTCGTTGGGGTCTGCACAGGGAGTGGGGGAGCACATGAGCACATTTGGAGTGAAGTCCAGGTGTGCCCAGAACCAAAGGGGGATAGCATTGTGCTTGGGTCTCATTTTCCTTTTGAGAGAAGTTGGGGCTCAGGAACTGAGGTTGCTATGTGGGCCTCATGGGGTCTGAGCCCCTGGGCTTGCTGATTCTTGCCCTCAGCTAACCTTTCAGCCCTGCCCTGTCCAGCCCAGGGGAGTGTAGCCAGGCCTGGGGGTGTGACCTGGAGCAACCTTCCCACCAGCCTAACCGTGTCCCCTTGGTGTGCCCAGGTCTGGACGCCAGTCCCCCGGCCAGCACTCACGAGCTCACCATTCCCAATGATGTGAGTATGCCCCTGCACCCTCCTGTCCTTGCGCGGGAAGGCCAATGCGGGCACAGTCACCCTCCACCCAGTGGCACCCTGGTGGCCCTGCTCCCGTTCTTTGATCTCTCTGTCCTCCTCCCTTCCATTTAAGCTGCTTTAATGCCAGTTATAGTATATAAGTTTATATGCCTAAGATGTCCCACAAGAAGGGGTCTTGGAGCCTTCAGGTGGATGAGAGCCTGGATGCCAGAGTGGGCTGGCATACACCTGCCCAGTGGTTGTGGCCTAGTCCAGGTCAGACCCTGCAGAACCAGCGGCCCACAAGCTCTCTATGGAGCTCAGGCTTCTCTGTGCTCTGGCTTCAGCAGACCTGAAGTCCAGGGGCCACAGGCTGGTCTGGATCCAGGTACGCGAGAGGCTGTGGCCTTCGAGCCAGCATCCCTAGCACACTCAGTCCTCCCCAGGCTCAGCAGGGTTCTGGTGAAGAGGGGTGCCATTCTCTGAAGCCAAGGATCATTCTACTCTAGATCTGGGCTTGTGAGAACTTCCACTGCTCTGGAAAGGCAGGAACCTGAGGCCGGAAGCAGGCAGGCAGGAGGACAAGAGGCCAAGGAAAGCCAGCCAGCCAGTGGAGGGACCATGAGGCCTGTGGCCGCCATCATGGGCATCCCCTGTGACTGTAGGCCAGGCTTCTGTGCAGCCAGGGCATCTCTCCAGGGCTCTGCTGTCCTCCAGCTGCTTGGTGGGAGAGGCCCCGGCCTATGTAGAGATACCTGGGGTCCTCACTCGGGCACTCAGCTCAGGACACAGCTCAGGACCATCTCCAGGGCAGCACCGCTACCCTGTGTTCTTGGAGGAGATCTCGGCTTTGTTTGCCCCCTGCCCCTGGTTCCCCGGGCTTCCCTGAGCAGGTGGTTCCAGCACCTGCCATGTCCTTTCACCTGAGTGACGGAAGCAGTGCAGGTCCTACCAGGAAGGGCCTCCCCTCAGCCTCTTACCTGCACACCGCTCCCTGCACCAGGGAAGTGCTCCCGTCGAGCATTCATTCCAAAGCTCAAGTGGGGCCTCTCGCAAAGCTGATTTGTCTGTCTCCTGTGGCCACCGTAGCACCATGGTCCTGCCTGTCCATCTTCCCCCGGGGTCTCTGTGGGGAGGGAAGCCTGCCCCTCAGAAGGGTGGCAGCTCCCTCACCCACGCCTACTTGGAAGCACGGCCTGTCATCCTGCTCCCAGGAACAGGGGAGGGCCTCCCACTCACCCCAGACCTCAGGGGACATTCTGGGCTGCAGCCGACACCTGCCACCTTCATGGAGGTGAGGAGGGAAATCAAGCGCTGGTTCTGACTCTTGCCATCACCACGTCCCGGCCAGGCTCCTGGTCACACCTGGTCATGCCTCATCTACAGGCTGCCTCAGGCTGCCTCAGCCCATCTGCAGAAGGGCACTCAGTGGGACTTCTGTGCTTGTGGGTCTACAGCAGAGACCCAGGCCAGGCCAGGGAGCCCCCACACCCTGGTTCACTCCCAAGGTCACTGTGGGCCTCCCTCATGGCCCAGTCCAGAGCTTGCTCCTGGCCGTGTGGCCTCTCGTGCCTGCCTCCTGTGCTCTGTCCTGAGCCCAAGCACCCACCTGCCCAGGCTGAGGCTCCCTTCTGGGTCCTGAGTCACCAGGGCCTTTTGCTGTATAAAGCAAGGCAAGCTGTCCCATGGAGGGCTTCCTGAGGAGAGGCCAGGCAGGAGGTATGGCCACAGCTCAGTGTGGCCTGTGGAGTTCTGTGGCAGCTGGTTAAAACAGCCACGTTTTTTAGAACATTTTGCTTTCCTTTGCACTTGTAATGGGGGGTGTGAAGGTGAGAGGGGAGTGGCCTCAGGGCTGCATGTTGATGGCCCAGCAGGTCCAGGAGAGCCAAGTGGGAGGGCCCTTGGGTCGCAGGTGCCCTGAAGTATCTGGCCTAGGGCAGGGCTGGCAAGGGGCTCTGTGGCTTCTCACCTTCTGCTGTGACTCAAGGGCAGTGTCGCCCAGTGAGCATTTCTGCTGAGGGTAAGCATGCTCCCATGGCGGGGACCCCCAGCACTGGACACAGGGCACCTGGAGGAGGGAGAGGGCTCGAGGCCTCGAGATCCGAGCCCGGGGAGAGAGCCACCCTCAACACTCCCAGGCATGTGCAGAGGGGAGAACGGGGGCCTACTACCAGGCCAGGAGGAGAGCACGGTGGTCAGCACTGTGAGGATGGCAGGAGAGCCCAGGAAGGAGAGCAGGCTGCAGAGTGTCTAGGACAGACCCGAGAGGAGAGGAGGCCATGGGGGCTGGGGCCTCAGCAGTGGTCACACCACCTGGTGGTCTGTACTCTCCCTCATGTTCCTGCCCAGTTTCAAGGTCCAGCATGCCAGGCCCTGGTCCAAGATGAGCCCTCAAGATCTGGCACACAGCCAGACAGGTTCGTGGGCCATGTGCAGGTTGGGAAGATGCGTCCCTGGCCTCAGGGCCCAGGCACACTCAGAACAACCACACAGGCGAGAACAGGGAGGGGTGGGAGTGCCCAGAGACACAGGCGGGAGACTGGGTTCTGTGGAGTAGAGGTTTCACCCCACGTTCCCCAAGAAGGATCTTTGCAGTCTAGTGAGACCCGGTGGGACTGCTGCTCATCACACAGCTTTGTATGATGGGACTTCTGTGCTTGTGGGTCTATAGCTCCCCACCCCCCACCTCCTGCCCCGCCCCAGCCTTCACCCAGCATCTCATGGCAGTAGGGGAAGTGTTCGTGACCCCATCTCCATGCCCTGGCTCCTGGGCCAGTGCCCACAGGAGGTGCAGCCATTAGCGTGGGCTCCTGTGGGCTGCTTGCTGTGGCCTGGGGCTCTCTGCCTCTGTATTCTGACCTTCCTTTTCCCATGCACACTCCAGAGCCCTCTGCAGTATCTGTGGATGTGGCGTTCTGCTCCAATCCAATGGCAAAAGGCAAGGGATGCCACCTCTGCCAAGTCCTCTCGGTGGTCTGCTTTGATCCCCCCATGCAGCAGGTTGGGCCAGGAGGGGCTCTGGCTACTGCCAGAGAGAAGGCCATGGCCTCAAGGCTCCTGCCCCCATGCCCAGGGTGGCCCACTCTTTTCCCTGAGCTGCTTAAGAAATGGTCCCTCTCTCGGTGACCACATGGTCATAGCTACTGCACTCCATCTTTAAATGGAGGTCACAGTGGCAAGGAAAGGAATGCCCAACGAGCTCTCGGGGTCCCAACAGAATCCACCAGAGGGCAGGTCTCTGGTGGAGATGAGCCTCCTGCATTCCCTCGGCCAGCCTGTGTGACACCTGTCTCTTGGCCGGAGTCTTCCTTCCCACGCTGGCGTGGAGTCCCCGGCTCTGCCTCCGCCCTGCCGGCCTCCGTCACTCCTGTCCAGGCCAGAGGAAATCAGCATGAAGTGGCAAGGCCTTGAGACAGTCATCTCTTGATCTGATGGAGCCCCAGCGGTGGGGCGGGTACTGAGCAGAGGCCGTGTGGTACCAACAGGCGAGTCCAGGCTGCTCTATGGAGGGCCAGGGGTCATGCCCAGGAGCATTGAGTTCCCTGGCTCCTGAAGAGGCCCTGAAGGGGACCCTCAGGATGTCCTCTAAGGAGTCTCTCCATCCTTCCTTCTAGCTAATAGGCTGCATCATTGGACGCCAAGGGACCAAAATCAATGAAATTCGACAGATGTCTGGAGCTCAGATCAAAATCGCTAATGCCACTGAAGGGTCATCGGAGCGTCAAATCACCATCACGGGAACCCCGGCCAACATCAGCCTTGCCCAGTATCTCATCAATGCCAGGTAAGGGACTCCACGGCCACAGGACCCTACAGGGGCTCCTAGCCCTGGCCTGCAGCCCACCTCTCGGCTTGGACAGTTGAAGCAGGTGGGAGCCCCAGCCACACTCTCCTTCCTAGCTGGACATGGGGACAGAGTGTACTGGGCAGTCTCCTCATTGACACGGGCCACCCCCTCTTCTGGTTGGTTATAGTGAGGAGCCAGGAAACTGGAAGAGTGGCCATCCAGGGTGGTAGTGAGGTAGCACGTCCAGGGAGGTCCTAGACCTGGGCCACTGGCCTTTGTCAACCAGACTGGTCCAGAAACATGGGAGCCTGGACACTTTGCCGTGTGATCTTTACAGACCCCTGGAGGAGGGAGAAGACCAGGGCTGAGCTGGCCTCTCCTTCTGTGTCCCGAGCTGAGCAAGGCAGTGGCACTTCCCCTACATCAGCTGGCGGGAGGCTGATGGAGCCATCTAGTGGTGGCAGCCCCACGTGGGCTGTCGGACTTCCTGCCCTGGTGCCTCCCCAAGGGGTTCCAGTGAAGTGGGAAGGGGTTGACCAGGAGAGACGAGGACCCCCCCAGCCTGACTTCACCCTCCCATCTCCCCTCCCCTGCAACTCCCCCAGGGCCACGACCAGGCTCCAGTGGAGTCTACCCCTTTCCACTGCTGGGCGGGTAGGGACCAGGCAGGTGTGGAGTTGGCCAATCAGGAGATGGGGTGCAGGGAGGCTTCCAGCACCTGCCCCCCACATGCTTCCAGCACCTGCCCCCCCCCCATTCTACGGCAGCAGCCCAGCTGGAGCCCTTCTGGGTGCCGGAGGATGCTGACCCAGGTCACAGTCATTCTTGTGAGAACTATGAAGTCCCTTCTTAGGTCAGGGGAGTGAGGTTTAGAAGGTCAGGATCGCCCACTAGGGGCAGGCCCAGGGGCTATGGCTGCTGACCAGATCCCCCAGTGTGACCCAGTGATGGGCAGGGAGGGAAGTCCCTGTGGATGCTCCAATCGGCCTGCCTCCTGTGTGCTGTGCCTTGTCCCTAAGTGTGCTGCTAGGACCACATGCCAGGCCACAAGGGTGCCCTGCACCCTGCCTACCTCGCCCCCACCCACCTCACAGGAGTGCCATGACACACCCCTATGCCTTTGTCTGTTCCAGGCTGACGTCCGAGGTCACCGGGATGGGCGCGCTCTAATCCTACCCAGGCCACTCTGTGCACCTGACCGCTGGAGCCCACGGCCTCACCGGCTGGCGCACTCTGTACAAACCGCCTGCCCTTCCTCGCAGATACAAGTAGTTTTCTTACGTACCGACGGTCCGTGCAGTAGACACCAGCCCCGAGCCGTCTGCACTCCAGGCTCGGCCGCCCGCCCCCTTTGGTAGTTGGAGCCTGTCTCCATGCATTGGCATGCACTGCTAAGTATTGTAACGCTTCGGGGAACTCCCATCCGTGACATTGTAGAGAATTGTCCCTCAGTGTCCGTGTGACTGTCCAAGATTTGGTTTGACGCTTTGGCACACTTCCTGTGACCTGCTGTCCCTGTGCTCAAGGTCCCTGCACTCTCTCCCCTGTGCCCAGTTTCCCCTCAGAGCCACGCTGCCTTGGCTCACATTCCCACCCAGGCCATGTGCTGGAATCTGGGCCGCCTTTCCTGCAGCCTGTGGGGACGCCCAGGAGAGGAGGGGCTTGGGGGACGACCAAGGAATGGGGCCGAGTGGCAGAGGGTGCGGGGCCCAGCTCCACAGGGATGTCCCCTGGGGGAGGCACTTGTGGGCCCCAGGCGTCTTCCGGGGTGACTGGAGAATGCAGCCTCTCCAGAAAGCCCCTGTGCACTGTTGGAGTTTAATAAACGTTGTGCGCCTCCCCCATCGACTCCGTCTCGTCTCTGCCCCCAGTGCCCATCCTCACTGGGCCAGCCTGCTGGGCGGAGCACCTGGGTTCTCTCACCGTGAGCTCAGGTTCATCGCCCCTGTCACAGCCTGCTCTCGCCCTTCTGCCGCTGAATTTGCACATGACTCAAATGACAAGGGTGAAAACCCCACCCTCCACTGGCACCAAAGGTTGGCCCCACCTGGTGGCCCAGCTGCTGTCAAGTCTGGAGTGCATCCATGCCCCCTCAGTGCTGAGGCCCTGCACCCTCTCTTCCCTCGGGGTGAGTGGCCAGAGGACCCAGACCCAAGGCCAGGGGAGCCCAGGAGAGTCGAGACAGGATGGCACCTTACCTCTGCCTTGCACTCCCGTCCCAGCACTGCAAGCTCCGAGCCCGGGTTCCTGGACCCTCCAGAAGGCAAGTGAGGCCTGGCAGAGGCAGATGGACCCAGGCAGGGAGGGGTTCCACACCCTCTCACCCCAGAGGTGCCTCCTGGGGAGTCATGGTCCCTGCAGGTGAACAGCTAGCCTGGAACCTGTTGAGCTTCCTGGGCTGCAGACCACATGTGCCTCTGGCCTGGGCTCCTGGCCAGCCGCAACACCCCTCTCAGAGGGAACCTGCTTCTCGTCTGCCTGGTGACTTTTCCAGGTTTCCTCCAGGATGGTCCCGGCCAGAGGCACATGTGGCCTGTGCAAAGTGGCACAGAAACCAGCCCAGCATGCCTGGCCACTCAGCATGACCGCAGGCTAGGGCAGAGGCTCTCTCCCTGGGACCTGCAGGGCTGGGGAGGCCACAGGGAAATGGAAGACACTGGCCTTCCCTAGCATCCATTAGCTGGGCAGCAGATGGCCGCTATGTCCTACCATGAGTAGGACAGAGAATGATAGTGTCAACAAGACAAAACCCAGCACGAGGGATCAAAGGTGCAGTGTTGGATGGGGCACAGGAAGGACCCCCAGAAGTCGTGAACAGGTTGGGGTAGAGGAGCATCCCGGGTGAGGCAAGCCAGGGCGTGCTTGACCCTTGGCCCTTGGCTGTGTGCCTGGAAACAGTCTCCCCCTGACCAGCCAGCCCTGCTTCCCCCTAACTTCAGATGACTTCACCTCCATGCAAGAGAGGGGACAGGTGAGACTCCTCCTTCCTGAAGGGAGGGAGGACGGTCCAGGGCCCGTGCCACAGCCTACAGCTCAGCCCAGCTCGTGGGAGTGGGGGATGCTTGGTCAGGAGCTGGGATGGGCACACTGTTCACCCCAGCTTACGGATGGCTCCCCTGCCATCGACAGGACAGCTCCCTCGGCAGCTGTGTGAGGTGGGCACACGTCATTCCATGCCAAGAGGTGAGGCAGAGGTCTGTCGGGCTGGTCACGGATCTGTCACCAAGGGAAGAGGTGAGAACAGCCTCACCTGCTGACTTGGGAAGTCTGTTTTCCTTTGAATTGATCTTGGGATTCAAAATCATTAATACAGTTGCTTATCGTGTCCTTGTAGGTTTTTAATCTTTCCGTCTATAATTGTTTCTCTATTTTCAGTCCCTCTTTTTTTTTTTTTTTAACAAACTAAAGAGAATAATTATTGCATTCATAGGAACGGAACGAAAGCAACAGCATTATATTTTTACAACATGAGACATTTATGTAGAAGAAGTTTCATTTTTCAAAAATGTTACCCTATTTCTTCCCTTTCCATCTTCCTCGAGCATGAACAGCAGCCACTGACCCTCACAGACAAACTGCTCCATGGGGTTGGACAGTATTCACCTGAGTGTCGTCTGTACTACTTCACAGGAGACTCAGCCATTCAGTTAGAAGGACGCACAGCACTAGAGAGACAGTGTCATGTGGACTTGAGGTACTGTTTACTGGCACAAAGCCCTTTATTCATATTATTAAAACAGCAATAATAGAAATAAAAACTACTGTAATGAAAATAGAACTCAGGAACAAGGTCATTAAACGTAACTAAATACATTCTAACATAAACACCATGTAGTTCCTCTAAGTATCAGGTAAATCATAACCTATCTGAAATTCTAGTTTCAGAGAAAAAGGGCAGAGATAACTACAAAGAAGGTGTTTCGTGTTATCAGGTCCATTTTATTTATTAATAGCTTTATTTTATTTATTTATCTTTATGTGGTGCTGAGGATCGAACCCAGGGCCTTGCACATGCCAGACGAGCGCTCCACCGCTGAGCCCCAGCCCCAGCCCCAGCCCCAGCCCCTGTCGGGTCCATTTTAAACAGCTGAGATCCTCTGGGGACTCTGCACTGGTCTTTCTTTTCGCATAGCTCCTGTTGTCCCTGGGTTGTGACAGTTTCTGTCTGCACACTGCAGTCGACCTTGCCATTATTTGCATCCTTGGACTCTTGAACAGCTTTTCTAGGCCACGAGGTTCACAAAAGGGGAAACCCTAGGGCACGTGTACGGCTCCTGGATTTTTGCAGATCCAGAGCAGAACTGGACGAAGACAGTACAAGGAAGGCCCACGGTTGTCCCAGGCTCGAGCCCCTCAACGAGAGGCCAGGCAGGGTGGACTGGGGCAGGCACCAGGTGTCCGGCAGAGTGGGGATTTCATCTTCCTTTTCTTGCTTGACATTGTCAGAATCAATAGCTCTTATTAACCTTCTTGAAGAATCTCCTTTGGCTTCTGCTGGGGGTGGGTGCTTGTTCTGCTTTGCTGTGGTGTTGATTTTCCCAGGACCTAGGTCCTGTCTCCTTGTTGGCTGTACTGACCGTGCTGCGCTCTTCCTCCTCCAGAGGCTGCTGTGTGGAGCTCTTCACTCCTGACCCCATTCTTGGGGATTGGTTCAGCACTGTGTGTTCTGGGTGCTGCTCTGGGCATGTCCCCTGACCTGTGTCGGTCGGTTCCAGCTGGTTCTCATTCCCTCCCGATTTCTCCTGACCTGGGTTCTGAGTGCTTACTGAAGGCCACACCTCTGAGCTCCTGCTCATTTCCATGTACACTGCTCATGGTAGGCACTCACACCCTCTCTGGCACTGACCCTCTTGTGACCAGTGCTGTGGTGTCTGTGGCTGTCCCGTGTCTTCTGGAACAGATGTGCATTCTGCTCACTTGATGTGAAGTCCCGTATCTCGCAGCCTCTTGGTCACCGCATGGCCTGGTCTTGACCATCTTCACTTACTCTCTTCTGGTTTGGTCCATGTGGGAGGCAGAGCATCCCAAGGACATTGTATGTGATCCCTGGATGAATGCCGTAACTCCATCATGTTGCATGCTGGGTATCAAGTTTGCAAACTAGTTAAGGTTTCTGCTCTTCTGACCTAGAAGTGAGGGGATAATCCTGGATGATCCAACTGGGCCCAATTTAATCACCAGGTTCTTAAATGGGGAGGAGGGAGGCCCAGGAGGTGCCAGGGGCACCAACAACCCCCAGGTGAGTGCGGGCTGCCTGAGGTGGCTAGGAGGGTGAGGAAAGGGAAGCGGCAGTGAGGGCTGCAGCCCCAGGGCAGGCAGCGGGCTTTCTGCTCAGCTTGCTTAGCCTTGGGGCAGGGCTCCGTGTTGCTGTGCCGGGGCCAGCTTGGGGTGTGCTAAGGGTGGGGTGCACTGAGCCGGGTGGGGCGTCTCTCTGCTCTGGTGCCTGCAGATGCCAGGCGTCTCTGCCTTGCAGACACTGGGTTTTTACCTAGATGCTTCTGGGTATTTGCCTAGTGTCTGATGTCTCCATTCTTTTATTTTCAACTTTTTTATTCTTTAGCTTATGACAGACTGATGGTTATGAGATCTTGCCTTCTGTCAAGGTTTTCTGTGTTCTAAGTGGAAGGTGCCACAATTGTAATGTTAGACTTTATTTATGCTACTTTATTTCCCGTTTCCCATTTTTATACTCCATTTCTATTTTCATTGAGGTGACAGACTTCTCTTCCACTTGGCTACACATTAACTGTGGTATTTTAAACATAATTGTAAGGTCAGGCTGCGGCGGCAACCAAAAGGAGGCAGATTTTAAAAAGACCGCTGAACAAGGCTTTATTGGGATGTCACTCCCAAGCACAACTCGATCAGAGCGGCAGAGCAGCCGGGAAGAGGGTCAGAGGAGAAACCGCGTGGGGGCTCCACCAGACAGGAATTTTATGGGGCTTATGGCAGGAAGGGAAGGGCTTGGGACAGGAAAGGGGGGTTTTTAGAGTCCGTTGTCCCAGTGGAGTTGGTCGGGGGAACTGGCTGAGATCCAGGATTGGCCAGGAGGCTCTGCTGATGGTCAGGCGGTTCCATGGGTGCCTGATTGATGTTTCTTTCCTGTGCACGGGCTGCTTGGCGCTCTGTTCCTAAGTCACCACCATCGACCTGACAGTAATCCCTGTTTATTCCTATGGGTTTTTATACTCCCATGCCCCTCTTCTGTCCCCGAAACAACACAGGAGTAATTAATGTCTTCAATTTTGGTTTGTGTCATTATGAACATACTCTTCTCGCCTGCGTTTTAACCTAGCCATCTTCTCCAAGGTGCTGGACCACGCTGGTGCCTGCTCACAGGGGCACGTCCCCAGGGAGGCCTCCCATGCCCTCAGCCCCAGGGCCCGCACCTTCAGCAGGGCATTTCTGTCACCTCACTAGATGGCTTCAGCCCGACGTGCCCGACGTGAGGCGGGACACCCTGGCAGAAGAGTGTCACGGAGGAGAGCCGCTGGGAACCTCTGCCCAGGAAGCAGAGGGCCCACTCTCCTCTGTGACAGGATAAGGCAGGAGTGATGTGCTTTCTGGGAAGGGAAGTGCCAGAGAGGTCTGGGTCCCAAAACCACAGGCCGTGGGTGAGCAAGTCCCCGCATGGACACGGTCCCCCTCGGAGACAGTCGACCCGATTCACAGATCACAGCCGCCCCTCGGATCTGTAAGAGAGTGAGATGGGATTGGGTGACCCCGACAGGATCTCCTCTTTCTTTTGATTCCAGATGGGATCAGATTCTTTGAAAATCCACCTCTCTCCTATCTGCTCAAAAACTGGGAGCGTTTGGACCCCAGTTAAAAAGAAGACCTTT